GATTACGAGGCTAAAAAAATAATTACCGAGACGCCATGGAGTGGTCTCCCACTGACAAGATGAAGACGATTCAAATCTTGTCACATCATAGCGGGTAACTCGTATTATTCAATTGTTACACGCCCTAACGTTTCCCCTGTGGGATCCACCTCCGAGTGGTCAGATGAAATATGCGCGCATGCTCGGCCAAGTGACATTGGCAACTCCTGTGCATTGACAACCGCACGGCACATGTAACCATTCGGATGGGCGTCTTAGAGAAACAATAATTGGGGACTTTTACCCACGGTACAGCCTCCTGGTCCACAATACTGCCACCCATTGTTCAAAGCATTAGCTACAGTTGTGTACTAGATTTTGGCCTTCGGGAAAGCGGAGAAATATGTCATCAATATGCGTAATCAGTTGGTCAAAGTAAACATGTTAACGCACACACACACACACACACACACACACACACACACACACACATCTCGGTTCCACATCCCACTGGAAGTGTAGACTTAGCGTTGGGGCCCATTATTCATGGTTCAGATGGGTGCCATCGGGCAGGAATTGAAATCAAGATGTGTGGTAGTGGTGATGGTGGGGAAAGGGTGAATTCCGCGTAGTGGGAAATGAACAACGGGTTTCACTGAGATTTCGCTGTGTGTGAGAAACAGAGTGGGTTGGTCAAAAAAAGGATCAGATCACATGGATTCCCTCATATAGTTTCTCACTTCAAAGAATCCTTTCGTCACAATGAGACCGCATGATTGCCGTGTAAACTTATGTGTGCAAGATGTGAACAGTCGGATTTGCGTACTACTTCAGCAGCAAAAGCATCATCACATAAAATCAGTGACGTATGAAGATATCAGCAAAATCTTTGTGTGCGTGTGTGTGCGCGCTGCCGTTTACAAAACCATTTGCATTTATAAAACGAATGGCCGCTGTTGCCGTATACAACACAATTCCACGGTCAACCACCGGGTTTGGGGAGACATTCTACCGTTCCGTTCTCTTTCATTCTAACAACACATAATATCTGGGGGCTGGGTTTAATTCACACTTTGGTCACTTGAACTATTTCACCCTGATGTTAAACATCGTACATCCGCAGAGAGAATATAAATAAAATAATGGTGAATTACCTGGGTTTTATTGGTATCGTCGAGAGTACACAGCAGCAAACGCATATTGGAGCACTTTTATTATGAGTTTAAAAATCCCCATTGAGATTTCTGTGTCCGCAGGAAAACCGTCAAGATTTTTCATCCTTGGGGACAAACATTTTGGACCGAGGAAACCTAAGCGTGCCGGTTGACAGACTGCTTTCAGCTGCATGCCTTCCTGCCCTAGTTGATCATCAAAATCATTCAGTCGGCTTCCTTGAAGTTCACAGATCTACCACACGTCCCGTGCTCGCAGATTCACCCGAACACCGGTGAAATTTGTGTCCAGAAATCAGGATTATATCATCATGTGAATGATGTACTGGTGTGTCTACAGCATTTTAAACAACGTGAGAATTACTACCAGCAAATAAAAGAACGGAGGCGGCGTCACAACGTACGTCACATTGTCCTACTGTGACCAGTCTGAAGTTATTCTTATTTATCCATCCCACGGTAACAACTTTTTATGTGTCCAACATAATTTCATGAGTTCTCGTCATAAAATATTACACGCGTCTAGTTTAACACTCTCCTTTCTCGACCGCATTATTTTTTCCCGATCAGTAAATATCAGGACATTTTCCCATTTCATAAGATCCTCCACAGAATTGTACTGACTTTAATGAAGCCAGTGCTTTATCATTATCATTAGTTTGATCAGGCTTTGTTACTGCCCCGTCAGGATTAGCTCATTTTTGCCGAATTGGTATCCAAAAATCTTCACTCTATTCCGGCATTTCACAAGGCCCTTTTTCCACCATTGATCAGTGCCTCCTTTGTTCGTTGAACCAAATACACATATGCTCACCGTCATGGTGAAAAACATGTGTAATCAGAGCACGTGATTTTGCTCAGATCGTCTGCTTCGAAGATACTAATACTACTTGTTTGTTATGGTCTTCCTGTATGTATGCGTCATTCTTCAGCGGTATTGAGACACATTACTCGAATACAACTTCAGACACTTGTTGAACAGTTAAACCATGATATGTACACTAATGGGGCATGAATACAAGAACCACGGTGATCATCAAAGCGTAAAATATTATCCGACTTTTAGCACATCCCCTTAAACTTACTTACGGTCAATCCCACCAAAAATAAGTTAGACCCTCAAACCTTCATATATACTTTGATGAATTCAATGTCGCGTAATTCACTTGTCGACAGACACACAATCTTCCCAATAGACCTGTGAAATTAATGTATGCGAAGCGCCCAAAATATATTCTAAAATATAGACAACCCTACACAGAATCCTTTGTTTAAGACCCAGATGGCCTTATTCCTGAAACTTGTTACTTATGAAGCTGTTTCTCCGAGAGGGGGGAGATATATCGTTCAATATGAATCAGATCCTCAAATGTGTTGATATCTCAAACTCATGGAGGTCTGTCATCGTCATTTCAAAGTCGACAGTCATCTCAAAACTTATTCACTCCAACGTATATTTCAATGAAAAGTGCTGGGAGGGTCATTCTCGCATGGTGACCTCTCTCCAACTAGCATATTCACCTAATAAATACATCCTTGTTATATATCTGCAAGTATCTGAATGATAAGACGAAGTTGGTGTAATTCCAAATTACTCTTCCGCTTTCAATGCGATTTCTCGATTACGTCTGGCCTATATTTGGGGAAAATCCGGCCGTCCAAACCAATCGCTTGCCTGGCCATCCGGCTATTTCACTGAGAGAGAACACAGTACACCAAGATGCGCAAGACTTCGCTTATAATCTTGTCAACAGTATCGGACTATTCCAGGATTAAAACCTTTCCTCGTGTTATTTTTGTTTCTAGATCATATATTTTTTCATGTCCGTCTGTATACAATTTTGATTATCTCAATACATCTGGGGGCGGGGGGGNGGGGGGGGGGGGCGTTTCCTGTGTCTCAAGCATTGCTCTCTCTCTCTTTACTTTCTGAACTTATGTCGAACCCATTCACCCTTCGTGATTCCTGTTCCCGACGGACAACTTAATTATCATTAACGTTCTCGCTTGAAAATCGACTCCATAGAGTGCTTGGGAATAATCACCAAAATCAACCCCCAGCTGAATTTGCACATTCAGTTGGGTATTGGTGATTTCTCTACTGCGACTGTAAATTCACGTTCCTAAACTGAAGACGTTTCATACCCCACAGCCGCTCCTCTTTGCCCATGCGTGCCAGTGAGTCCTCCTTTTTACTCACCCGTAACTTTACCCGTACTATGAAAGCAAGACATTCAAACTATATGGCGTGGTATAATGATCAAGGTGATCGCGTTGCCCACATTACCTTTAGGAATTAAGCTGTGAGGCTATTGCTAAACCTGTTCCACTTTGCACTATGGAATGCTGTTAGATAAACCCGCCCGTTACGCTCGAATTTGTCTTCCTGCCACTCTCACAGAACGGAATATTCTAGATCTCACTTGCCTTTGCATTTATGTGAAATAACCGTTAGACTAATAAGCCGGCATTTTAACGCTATACAAGGAGATTGTAAAATAAACTGCGCCCTAATCCTCACGAGTAAATCTTTGTTCCTGGGCGGCTTGTATCGCAAAAAACTTATTTTGTTATTGTATACCTTGCAAAATCACTTTTTTCTATTTGAAAATATCCCGTATCATGGTTTTCACCAAGGGTGTGTGATTGCATTCTAAGCAAGTGCTTCAAGTCAAGTGAAATGTAGTCAAGAAATACTTTATAAAGGAGTAAGCCAAATAGAAATAGAAATTAATGAATGATTGGTTGTTAGTTTCCAATGCGGTTTTACAGTCCATCTTAATCAGCAGATGTGCACACGCTGCACTGGTTTTCATTCCGACCATCATCAAACTCTAACCCTTCGCAGTTACATGGCTATAACATGTGTATTTTAAGATGCTCTTTTGAAACTATTCATTAACTCGTGATAGTAAAAATGGCTTTTGCATTCAGTACCCCGAGATTATACCATTGCAGTAAGCTCATGACTACGATTTTTGGAGTTCGGTGTGGCTCAAAATTTTGTCCCTTGAGAGTGAGATTCGATTAATTCAGTTTTATTTTTGCCGTTAATTCAACCCGATGCACCAGTACCACAATATACCTGCCCAGTTGGCCTATTTTATTTACATTATCAGTTTTATAAAATGGTATTGTTCAATAAATCTGTTGAGAAAATTTACACACCTTACCAAACAAAAGTGCTTTTTGGAGTGTGTTGTATTCATGAGAAAAATAGGATTTAAAATATTGAGGATTGACTCATAATGCTCTCTGATCGCTTATACCAACAATTAACTCACGTTTTAAAACGTTGATCCGAGTAGCTGAGCTGGTAGACATTTGTCTTTTATCCAGTTCATAGGAGACGCGACAAACATACACGCCAGATTCATGAAGTTCGATATGTCCCAATTCTAACTTCCACTGTGTTCCAACAAGTGTACCATTTGGATTTCGCCACTCGTACCGGAGTGGACCAGCACCATCCGGCCTGGTACTTCCAGTGACATTGCACAAAATCCGCACCAAAATTCCTTCCTCAACATCCTGCGTAATTATCGAATCAGCTGAAAGTAAAAAAATAATGAAATAATTAATTTAGTATGAATAAATAAATCAGTGTATAACATAGGTCTAGAATGAAGAATATAGGAGGCCTGAACTACCATTTATCCCAGCTTACGATTTAGCGCAACAGTTTTCAGGCAAAAGCTTCAACGATTATGATGAACTCACCTCGTCTAACACTGATGTAGGTGGATTCGACTGCAACCACAGGCGTCCCATTGATAAACTGTGTAGCTGTGCACTTGTATTCCCCCTCATCGGCCTTTGTTATGTTTATGAGTGAAAACTTGTCATCTGATGCAATAATAACACGGTTGTCAAGCTCCCATTGATAATGTACAGGTGCATATGCGGAAATTCCGGTGGCATTGCAGTAGAAAGCTATGTTTTGGCCTTCATAGATTACTTGAACACGTTGTGATTGACAAAAGAGGACACAAGCGAGAAGAATACAGAGCGCATATAGAGCTCGTACCATTGTCGGACGCATTCAGACCCAACTGTTGTGCGACGGCCTTAATGTACCAAAAGGGCATCGACATAGCGCAGATTCTGATTTACAAACATATGGAATTCAATCTACGGAATGTATTATTTTTAGAAAGTTAGTGAGAAGAATTCATGGTCATACATGAAAAGATTGAGTAATTTGTTTAAATGCATCAATAGTATAAACGATCGTTGCTAGGTCTGTTTCAAAGGTGAAAATGCCGACCTTGAGGTATGTATATCTTAATTTCATGAACTTTGCAGTAAAAACTGGTTGATGACAAAGCTCGATACTAATAAAATAAAACAAGTGTGGAATTTGGCTGAGTTTGGAGAATTCTCTGGCAGAGGAACGAATGAGTTGTGTGTTTTAGAAGTTTCCTACTCATCGCCGAATGAGACAAACACTCTCCCTAAACTCTGCACGTCTCTGAAAATATATCAAGGTGTAGAAAAGTCACTGGAACTTTCTGTCCCTGACCCAGCCTGCGGAATTTGTGCAATAAATGTGGCTTTCGCGAACTCGGTAATCCAGGGTACGAGTCAAGTTAAACGTTTAAATCGCCTGCGTCACATATTTGCTTTTACCTGCTTTAATAATGACCCTAGCTGCTGTGATTTATTCAGCAATTACTTTCACTGTATCCCCGCCGATTGTAAAGTGTGGAAGGTTTTGGATACTTGAGGTTTTGTTGTCTGAGACTTCATTATCAGTGGCTGAGATCAAGACAGTGTTTACCCTGAATAAGATGTACAATCCCTCTTCGCTAAGCTAAAGGACCATATCAAATCTACGAAGTTTCCCTCCTCAGCCCCACTAGAAAGCAGTATCATTCACCTCCACCACACTTACTAAATGGAACTTCAGTTCAGTTCAGTTCATTCGGCACAGGACGAATATTGCTCTTGCAAATCGAGCGTCAAGTGTGCTATGTTGCGGAGGGTGAGAGTTGCTTCCAACACTGTGTAGAGAGGATTTGGTATTTGTGATTTTCTCAATATAGCTACGCCTTGACCTTGACGGCGTGTGGTTCGAAATTTTGCCGTGGTTGATAAGTTTGTCTTTGTTGTGTCCCAATTTGTGTTCATATTAGTTCTTCTAGCAAACGTATTGTTATATTAGTATTGTTTTCTGTTATAGATTTAAGATTTTTGGGATTACTAGGTTACATAGTTATCGCAACGTAGCTATTCTCACCTCATAGTACTTAGCCAAATGGTTGTTAAGAGCATCAGAAAAGGAGGGTAAACATCTGTACTCCTAGGTCAAAGCAGTTCTCATGTGGGATCCAAGGTTGCGATCAGGTGCTCGACGGCATTTGTTGCGATGTTTGCAGCAATTGGTACCACCAGAAGTGTATTGCCCTAGCTAAAAGGGCATATGGGCTCTATACTGAGCACAACTTCCTGAAATGGGTATGTTCTGCCTGTGTTAGGACGTGTAGAGAGACCGCATTTTTGGAGGGGATCCAGCGGATAGCTTCTGAGTCGTTGAATTCTGCCGCGAGAAATTCTAGAGTGATACGACGCAGGGATTACGCTGCAGCTGGTAAAGAGGTGTCGCATAGTAGAGAAGCTTCGAATCAGTTTCAGAACAATAGTGAAGTCCTAGTAGCTCGAGTAAAGAAGCAGGAAGGGAAGCTGGTGAAGCTACAGCAAGAGTTGAGCCAGTTAACCAAGAGCATGCTTAGACTGGAGGCCAGCAGTAAAATTGCCCTCGGCCAGCACGCCTTGACCAACGGTGAGAAAGCCGAGGAAATGCGTGGGATTTTTGAAAGTGTCCTCGTGCGAGACCCCGGTAAACCGCCCGGTAGGATGCTGATGAACTCAGTCACCGCAGTGAGTGACTTCTATGTAACACCTGATGAAATAAGGGATATAGTGCAAAGCCTAAATGTGTACAAGGCCGCAGGGCCGGATGGAATTTATCCCGCCGTCCTTAAACCCTTTGCGGTGATCGATGCGGGACCCTTCTCAGAGCTGTTCAATTGGTCACTCCGTGCTGCGCAGCTGCCCAGAGATTGGATGACGGCAATAGTTGTCCCCATTCACAAAAGAAGCAATAGAGAACAGCCGGCAAATTACCGGCCAGTGAGCGTACTGTCGCTTGTATTCATGTTGTTCGAAAGGGTTATTAGGAAAAAACTGGCCGAGCACCTTACAAGAAATAGATTAATAGATTAATAGCCGATAAGCAGCACGCCTTCGTTGAAAGTAAATCCTGCTTGACCAACCTGGTGTCGTACCTGGATGAGGTCATGAACCGACTTGATGGGGGAGGGCGAGTCGAGGTATGCCACCTGGATTTCAGGAAAGCTTTCGACTCGGTAAATCATCGCTTCCTGCTACACAAGTTGGAGTGTCTCAGGGTTGTTCCGGGGGTAGTAGGTTGGTTGAGAGCCTACTTGCACAACAGGACTTTTCTCGTGAGAGTAGACGACGATATATTAAGGTCTGCCGAAGCTTGCAGCGGGGTCCACCAAGGGTCTGTGCTTGGTCCGATGCTGTTTCTCGTATACATCGACGATATGGTCCGTAGCTTGCACTCGCCGCCCTACTTGTTCGCCGACCACGTCAAAATCGTAGGCCGACCAGACGTGCCACAACTGCAGGAGGATCTGAACAAGATCCAGGAGTGGATAGCTCAATGGGAACTTTCGTTGAACCTAAACAAGTGCCAACAGTTGATGTCAGTCGGTACAAATAGCGATGGGCAAAATGCGACCACGGAAAGTCATCTACCTCTAACGAGGAGCGAGGACATTGGGGACTTGGGTATCATCATAGACCAGACCTTCAAACCAACACCTCAGTGTCTGGCAGCTGCGGCCGAAGGTAATAGGGTACTTCGTCTACTCTTGAGGGCTGTAGCCTCTCGAGAGGAAAAGGTGATGGTTCCACTGTACAAGGCCCTGGTGGGACCACCTGTAGAGTATGGCGTTCAGGCCTGGGTGCCTTATTTTGTGAAAGACGTCAAGGTCCTGGAGGCGATACAAAGAAGGTTCACAAGGGTCATAGAAGGCATGAGTGGCGTTACATACAGCGAGAGTCTCAGGAGGTTAAATTTGTTCTCCCCCTCAAGAGAAGGAGAATGCAAGGTAACCTCACAGAGGCCTTCAAGCAGCTGACCGGCGCCTCGGTAACGGAAACACCGTTGCTGCACCTATGCCACAACACCAACTCTAGGGGCAACGGATGCAAATTGGAAAAACCCAGGGCAACAAGGAGTATTAGAGCACAGTCCTTTTCGCATCGGGTTATTGCGTGGAACCGGTTACCACAGCAAGTGGTTGCTGCTCGTAGCTTTGGGGCTTTTAAGTACCGTCTGGATGAGGCATGGTCGGGTATATTTCCCGAAGATGATTATGACCAAAAACCTGGGACCATATACTTAATTCCCCGTAGGATACCCTAAGTTGATGATCCTTAGCAGATGAAAAGAGCATCTCGCCATAATGTTCTTTTCTCCGTAAGTAGCCCAAACCTTACGAAGACCAAAAAAGACAGGTGAGGATGGAGAGCCCCAAGTGTACCTCTTACCAGCACGTCTGTGAGACCTAACGGCGGAAGGAAGCTGATGCGTCCATACATTACAAACAAACAGCAACATAGTGAAGTGTGTGATCCTCTCCCCCGGATCTCGAGAGGTGAGTGGTAGAAGACCTGTAGTGAGCGGAGTTGGGGACAACAAATCCAATTACGACTCACCGAGGCATCCAAATCTCCAATTGAGCAACGACCATGTGCCCACTGTGGACCTGAAAGAGAGAAAGATAGGAGGGAGAATGTACGACAAACGGTGGGTAGAAGTTCAAATGGAATAAAAAAGGCACACACCTATTTCGACCAATAACGGATTGCAGCTCGGTCTGGTAGATGAGGGAAGAGAGGGGCAACATCCCAACCACCACCATCCTCCTAAACCGAGCTAGGCTGGGCCCTGGGTGAACTGCAGCTAATGCGTCCTGCGCTTGGGACCTGACAAGGTCAGAGATGCAGATAGACTCAGAAGGCTTGATAGCCAGATAGGTTCCTGACGAATACCACCAATATATGACCCGATGCTCCGGTATTCTGGAAGCCATCGGGTTTAAGCTTGTGGATGAACAGGAAGTTGTCTGTGAGTTTCTCACATGAGCGTGTCTAAACGTGTGTGTAGTTGAAAGATGAACACAGGGAACGCGGAGCCGCAGATGATTGGAAGAGTACGCGAGCAGCTCGGACGACAGACCCTATGATCTACTGAATCAGCTTAAACGAGGACCCCTCGAAAAGCTTCCACCTACCATACCTTCCACTACCTCTTACGTAACACATTATAAGTACTCTCTAACCTCCACTTACACCCTACTGAGTATATCCGAACCCACCTGTAACTAGGAAACTGTCTAGGGTGTGTAATCGCTTCACCCCACTGACCGCTCATCTAGGTGCATACCGAGATTGGCATTCATTATTCTTTCTTCTTCTACAGGTACCCCTATCAGCAATAAACTATATCAGCTGCGGAATTAGCAACTGATCCGGAAAGTTGCCCAAGTCGGCAGCCAGGGGCCCACAAAGCGGCTCGTAAAGGATTCCTTATTGTCGAAGCATACTTAGGTGAATGATAAACTCACGGTACAAGAACCTGGACTCAAATTGGCATCAGCTGGTTCTGTGGCCTGACCTGACCTGACCTTCAGAACGTTGTCTCCTTGGGGGGGTGCTGAAAGGGGGGAAAACAAACAAGGATATCTCGCCTCATTAGTTACAAACCTCAAGGTTCATAGGCCTTGCTATGCACGGGGCACATGTGACAGAACAGTCAGTTTGAGAACAAATCCAACAATCAAGCTCGAGTTCACTCCATTTCAGGAATTTCGGGCTACGGTGGATTTTATTCTTGATGTTCTCACTCTAAACGCGTTAACATTGGCGCTGTTACCACTTCTGCGGGTTACCTGTTCCACATAGCTATGACCTTATGTGAGAAAAACCAGATCCGTA